GGAGGGGGGGGGAGATAGGAGCCGGGTGGATGGTGGAGGTGGTGGGGGTAGCCGTAAGGCCATAGCCACGGCCACCGACTCATACATGCTTGCTGGCGCGCACATGCACGACTGAGGGACACGGGCCGGAGCATGCACACGGGCCGAACGAAGCCGCACGATCACGCACGAGGGCCATACGCATGCTGGATTCTCTGGGTAAGCGCGAACGGGCCGTCGCTTTGTATACCGAAAGCAAGGATTTTTTTTCGGATCTTTTGCTCTTGATTATGCATCGTTCCCTTGGGGGAGAGCGTATAATTTTTGTTTTTTTTTTCAATTTGAGGTTACGCGAGATACACGTACGGGAGACGAGTGAAAATGTTTGTGGAGGGTAAAAAAAATTTTTTGCGTCGTTACGTGTTTTTTTTTTTTTGGAAAAATTAATGTTTTTCGAAAATTATTTTTTACCGTGACCCGGGTTATGCGATTTTTTTTTGCAGTTGGGATACTACTGGGGCGAGTGGTGCGAGAGGATAGTTTGGATGACTGTTTTATAGTGGTAAGAGACTGAGCTTGGTCAGACAGGACCCGAAGCCTGTTTTTTTCTTGTCTACTTACTGGGACCTGTGGCATGATGCCATTGCGGGTCTTTGTTTCCGTTACCGTTGGTAGCACTGCTGGTTACACTCTCCCCTACCACTCTTTTCTCTTGTCGATCCCATAGCTGCTCTCCCTCCAGCTTGACTTTCTAACGAAAGTGCAAGTCTTTTTTTTTAAAGCGGCTACCGGCGTAACCGTCATCTCCCGCCGGCAGCGGGAGACTTTCCCGTGTTTCCCGATCGCGAGGTACTTCGCCGTTTAATTGATCGGAGATACGGCGCCGGGTTATTTTCGTCGCTTTGGAAAATCTGGAAAGAGCAAACTCGCGAAGCGGCTGCGACCTTGCGAGCGGAAGACGGGGGCCTTGTCACGGCCGGACCGCGGGAAAAAGACACAGAAAGCGGGCGGCGGAGAATAGTAGCGAGGAATTACGATAATACGGATCGGTTAAAGAAATTTTTCGGTTTTCTGTCCACGTTAAGATAGGGCCTTACGAGAGGGAAAGTGTGGCTAAAATCGAGAGGTTGTAACCAATAAGAAAATTCGCATCGTTAAGGATAGGAAGAGATACAGAGAGAGGGAGATATAGGTAGTGGAAGATAAAGAGAGAAGCGAGAGAGTTGGGCTTTACGTCGAGGAAGTTTGAACGGGGCCTCGAAAACCTTCGAGATTCAAAGCAAAATTCCTAATATTTGCTCGGGGGGGGGCCTGAGGAGCGCGGGAGGCCCGCCCGCGGCGCACAGTCAAGGTCCAGCCAATGACTTGCCGTGACATATATTGGGACCTTTGGGCCTCGAGTGAACTTGGGCCGATGAGGAGACTCGCGTAACGCGAGCTATTACAGCTAAGAGCGACCTTGAATCGATATACAGATAACAATAATCACGAATCCGACAACGTTCAGAGCGTAGCAGTCGTCGTCGTATGTTGGCCGATTCGTTATTTATCTTTACGGCTATTTTCGTACTATACATTTCTTTCTAATAGGCAGTTTCCAATATAGCGACAGAGACACAAACATGACTCAATCGCCCGTAACCGACTTGCGTATAACTAAAACTAAAATGGATTCAAAAAAAATTTTAAGTTTTATATAAATAAAACACCACCGACATGAAGACCCATTTCCCTTTTGTTTTTTTTTTTTAACACGAGAAAAAGTAAACAGTGGGAACTACCCTAAGGTACCTGACAAGACGGCAAAATATCATGCAGCCGTCTTTCGCATTATGAATGTCTTCGGGTAGGAAGGCCTTAGGCCGCGTTTTAAAGAGGAACGTACCTTTCGTTCTTTCGCTAAGATGTTCTAGTAGCGTCCTTGCAAAATTCGTTATCGATTTCCACGTCGTTAAACAAGAGTTCGAAATTTGCTATTTAATCAAAAAATATGTTTTTTTTTCTATTTACCAATCTTTCTTCTCTCTCTCTCTCTCTCTCTCTCGATCCATACCTTTTGGAAGCCAGGCCGACGACCACGCCGTGACTCCTTTTTACAACAGCACACGTCGCGCTCTCCTCTCACTCTCACTTTTCACCTTACGACCTTCCTACTACTTTTCAAAGCGGCAGGTGTTAACGCACGTATAGTAGGCCAGTGTCAGTCAACGACACCCGATGCCTCATATTAGTTCAGAGTCGCCGAATTGTGAGTCAGAAAAGTGTAGGCCAGCAAGTGCGACAACTCGTGGGGCCATTGGCCAATATTTGGGCCAATGTTACCGAATGCCGAGTGTACGCGTTGCCTAACGTAACGCAAACGAACGACGCGACGCCTGTTTACCCCTCACCCAACCCCCTCCCGCGATTATCATGTCGGACGCTCATTACGTATTAGCCCTGTCGTTCCCCTCTCCGTCCCTCGACTGATTCCCTTACCGTCCTCATCCAAATACAATTAACGTACGTGCGAATCTACCGTGTACGTTTGTCGACAATAGTCTACCTCACGCATCGTGGCGGAATCCCGGTCCAGACCTAAATTTGACAATTCGTCGCTCAATTACAAATTACCAGAATTCGACGGCTACGCAGTCTGCTCATTGGCCATTACGAATCGCACCCTTGTTTTCACGGATCATTAAAAATGTCTGACGTTAACGAGCTTTCCCGTTGATCATTGCGATTTTTGATTATTTTCGGTGAAAAAGAAAAATTATAATCTTATTTTACTCCTTTCTCACCTTAGGCCTGGACTTTGCCGGGTTACGTTTTCTTATTGATCTGTTTTTATTGCCTATTGACAATTCTTCGGGCACTCACAATTCTCCAATCTCTTCTCTCTCATAGAGATATACGCCCTTTAAATCGCTCTCGGACTCACGAAACAAGGCGTGCTCTTAATGCATCGTGCCTGGTGACCCGTGGTGCAAACTAACCCACCTGGAGAAAGCTGCCAGGACTTTCTCGCTGCCTCTGCACTCCGATGCAATCGCATAAATAGTCATGTATCGTACAACGAGCAGATACTTAATCCCCATTGACAATTTTCCCCACGGTATATACTATTGAGCATCGACGAAACACGTGCTGGCTAACGTATTTATAAGAGGAAACTGAAATTCCCTATGCTCTGACATTGTCATGTTAATACGACGTTTGATCGACAGGTGGCGCCACGGTCGTTTCAGTTCGCGCCAAAACACAAATGCACTGACCGACTGACTACTGGAAATTAATAAAAGTATATTAACCAAAGATTAAAAGCTTGAGTTAAGCTTCGTTTCTCGAAATATAATTTGACGCGGGGTCGGAATTGCGCGGATGACGTATCGTCTTGTGGCACTGTCGTGACGTCACTCATTCGATGACGTGTGGTCAACCGCGGTCAATGCACCACGTTTCTTGCAGGGCATTATAAAGCTCTTGCGGGCCGGCTAGGTGTGCGCGAGTACGCGTGTCCCTATACGTGCATGTACATAACCGTGCGAAATACCGGGTGACCGTAAAGTGCATCCCTTTTTATGTACTTTGCATATTCAAATATCTAGACAGCATCCATTGTGAATGGGGTATACAGTAACGTCGGCTAACAGGTGAAAATTATTATTTGACTCTAGTGAAATCAAATTAAAATTCTAAATTTTAAAAACAG